AAAGAGTGTGCTATACCACCCACATATATGTCCAAGAGTGTGCTATACCACCCACATATTTGTCCAAGAATGTGCTATACCACCCACGTATTTGTCCAAGAATGTGCTATACCTCCCACATATTTGTCAAAGAGTGTGCTATACCACCCACATATATATGTCCAAGAGTGTGCTATACCACCCACGTGTTTGTCCAAGAGTGTGCTATACCACCCACATATTTGTCCAAGAATGTGCTATACCACCCACATATTTGTCCAAGAATGTGCTATACCAGCCACGTGTTTGTCCAAGAGTGTGCTATACCACCACATATTTGTCCAAGAATGTGCTATACCACCCACATTTGTCAAAGAGTGTGCTATACCACCCACATATATGTCCAAGAGTGTGCTATACCACCCACATATTTGTCCAAGAATGTGCTATACCACCCACATATTTGTCAAAGAGTGTGCTATACCACCCACATATATGTCCAAGAGTGTGCTATACCACCCACATATTTGTCCAAGAATGTGCTATACCACCCACATATTTGTCAAAGAGTGTGCTATACCACCCACATATTTGTCCAAGAATGTGCTATACCACCCACATATTTGTCAAAGAGTGTGCTATACCACCCACATATTTGTCAAAGAGTGTGCTATACCACCCATATGTTCAAGAGTGTGCTGTATCATTTTCATGAAAAGCGTCAGACTGTGAGGAAGGGTTGGGAGACGCACGCTCTCACTCTTTAACAGATTGGTCGTGTTCACAATATTTAAGTAGAGGAGCTCTTGTGTGTGTACACTTAACACACTCACTACTGCGCCTGTTCACCTAGCAGTAAATAGGTACCTGGGATTTAGACAGCTGCTACGGGCTGCTTCCTGGGGGGAAGGGGGGGGGTGCGTGTGTTAGAGACAATAAATGTAATAAATATAATAGAGGAAAAATAGATTGGTTAGAAAGGCGGGGTCCGAGCTAATGTAGCTCGATTCTACAGACACAAATGTTAAATACAATTAGTAAATACACACAAACACATTGAGAAGGTAGAAACAGAGGAACTGTTTACAATGAATAACAATAGAACCAGGGTGGCACGCATGGACGCTTGAGACTCAGATGCGTTGTAGAGATGATAGAAAGTTTTCTTTTAGCGTGCGGGGAAGTGAGTAAATGGAATGACCTAAATGAGCAGGTTGTATTGGTTAACTTCATTCATAACTTTAAAAGCAGGTATGATAGAGAAATTGGTCAGGAATCATTGTATTAGACAACCAACGGCTAGAAAAGCGGGGTCCAAGACCTAGAGCTCGATCCTGCAGGCGAATAGGTGAGTACAAATAGGTGAGAACACACACCCTGTCCACTCTGGGCTTCGCAACTGAGTGGACAGCGCTCATGGGTCGTTGTCTTAGGGGCCTGGGTTCGATTCCTAGCTGAGGCAGAAACAAATTAGCCTCGTTGCTTGGAGAGTAATAAGGGTCGCGTCCTGGGGTGATCCACCCCCTAATAGTGCATGGTCGTCGCTCCGGGCAACTTGCACCTGCCTCAGTAATCTGTGAGCTGTGTTGCCAACACTGCTACACTACCTCGGTTTAGCATTACACCACCACTGTCTTCACTGGTCTGACCAACAGTTGTCATATGTAATGTCACTGGAGATTAACGTCTTTTCGGATTGGCAGATTAAATAGTTATATGGACCTTGCTCTCAGGCGAAAAGTTTAATAGTCACTAGTCACCAGCCGTCCTGTTGAATGCTACAAGCCTCTTCTCACACTGGCTTTCTTCTGTACATCATTATCTTGGACAGTAAAACCCAAGTTGGACTCTGGTTTGGGGCCTCCAGAACCTCCCAGTGATTTCAGTAGCGTTCTGGGCTGGTTAGCTTCTGTACCATCGTGACCGAGTCTGTTAAAGGCAGGTGTCTGGGAATCACCAGGACGCGAGTTTAAGTCACTCCATAGCCTCAAAATGATTTTCATTTATATATTTTTAAATATCATTATCCACTTCAACACGATTGACTTTTCCAATCCACAACGTCGAGTCTTTACAAACCTTCAAATCTTTCGACGCTGTGCCATCATTCATTATCTCTTTCAAAAGAGTACCACACTCTCCTCCCACATCAGGACAAGAGCTGCCAACCACCACCTTATCCGCCGTCAAAGAAACTGCCACTCTATCCCCTAAGGAGTGAGTCAACATAGTCTTTTTGATTCAAGTACAGTGCCACCTCCCATCTCTAGACTCTCCACCCAGTAGAACAGTGTCACAACTATCTTACATTCCACTATCGCGGTGTTACAAACCAACTCCCAACTCCCTATTCTAGTTCCGGCATCATCAGTTCCATTCCAGAGTTAGTGTTATCCCTTCTCCCCCTGCATGGTACCCACTCCATCCCCTTCCCCGTAGCACGGTGCCTATGCCAACCCTCCCATCTCCGTGCTACGGTGCCACGGTCCTCAGCTTTAACTATATAATACTCCAAATTGGATCGTCCTGCCATCCGTTCACACATTTCCACGGATTTACTAAACTGTGTGATCACACACACTCTCTCTCTCTCTCTCTCGCTCTCGCTGTTTTAAACTGAGACTAGGGGTTCATAAGGGATGTCAAGTGATGTGCCTAGTGAAACTGCAAGCAAGAGATGTTATCCTTCCTCAGCTCATCTGAAGCCTGCTCCTAGAAACTCATTTATTTCACGAGTGTACTTTGAAACTATCGCATAGGGAACTATCATATAAGGAACCTGGTAAAACTGCAAGCAAGAGCTGTAATCCTTCCTCATCTAAGTTGAACCGTACTCCTAGAGCCCATTTATTTCATGAGCCTGTTATATGCATCGGTAGGAATAACCTTTATTCATTAACAATATTAGGTAACAATCATAAAGAACGGGATGAACCTGTAGCCAACTGTGTGCCAGAGCCTTTATGTGATCAATTGACCTGATATCTCACGTATCAAACCTGTTGGGCGAACAAGTTCCAGATGCGAGTCAGCCTAGAAGTGAATGATCGCTGATGGAGTGATGTTCTTGAGAATGGTACTTCTAGCATGAGACTGTTGAGGGTTGAGAGCCTAGTCTTACGGGTGGCAACTACTGGTACTCCACGGAGTTGGGCCAGGTGCGGAACTTTGAGGACGTTGGCCTTGTACATAACAGTAAAACCACCAACGACCCGACGGTATTGCAGGCTTTGATGTTCATACCGTTCGTACCAGACTTGGTCATGGCTAGAGATAGGCAAGAAGGCCTCTCTCTCCACTTTGTCCAACAGTGTGATGAATGATGGGGGGGGGGGGCAGGCGATCCAGGAAAGGGGTGCATACTCTAGATGAGAGCAAACTTGTGCTTCATATAAAGTTTTGCTGCCCTTACTGTCAAGAAGGCGTGAGATGCGCCGTAGGGCTGTAAGCTTCCTGGCTGCCTTTTGAGTTAAGCACGTGGTTCTTCATTGTCATGGAAGAATCGAACTTCATTCCCAAGATGTCAATTTCGTCTGTGAACTCTAGGGCTTTGCCACCCATTTGCAAGCCTGTCCGATTTGCCATATTCAGTCTAGTTATCATCATCGCTTGTGACTTCTCAACCGCAAATGTCACCTACTATCTCCTGCCCCAGGTAGAAATCACTGAAAGTTTGTGATTGATGATTCTTGCAGCAGTTGGCATTTCTTCCTTTGTGTGTGTGAAGGTTAGAGTGCAGTCATCAGCATAGGCTTAAGCTTCAGATGAAGTAGATCGTTGAAATAAACATTCCACAGCAGAAGGCCAAGCACACTACCCTGTGGAACGCTGCACCAATTGAGTGGCTATCGGATTCTGCTCCATTGAGGACAACCCTTAGAATCCGTTCTTATATATATATCTCACTAATCTCACAAATAATATGCTCACATAATATCTCCTACCGGCTGAGAATTGGGACAGAGAGAACCAAGATATTTTACCATAAACATCAAACTGAAGCTGAGCGCTACTCCTCGCTGCTTGTGTGCGTGTGTGTACCGTATTCTTCACTTCCAGTGATATCCGCGAACCCATCGCTCTTCTACACCCCCTCAACTCTCCCTTTCCGCCACCCCCTCCCTGCAACTCTCACCGTCTCCCTTCCCCATGATGCACAGCCCAGACGGCTCCGGGATATCCTGTGGGATATAGCCTCCACTGAGGGAGGTACAGGGTGCGGAGGCTTAAAGCTGGCAGCTGTGCTGGCGCTCCCAGAAGCTTGTGTGTGGTAGGTGTGTCCGTGATGTTCTCTCGAATTATGGTTAGAGACTTACGAGAACGATTGTAGACTTGCGAGAATACTCCTGTAGCTCAAAAGACATCGTAAGGAGAGGAAATATCAATAGGTTGAAAAGGCTTATCTTTACTTCCTAAATGTGACAGGAACCAGGTATTAATCGTCTATAACTTACAGTACCCATATGTTAACGTCCAGTACATAACAATACCCACCTATTAACATCACATACACGACAATAACCACATATTAACATCCTGTACTCTACACTACCTAAGGTTCTCTACACTACCTCAGGTTCTCTACACTACCTAAGGTTCTGAGCACTACCCGATGTTCAACAGGTCACGTCATCAATAGGTGTTTATATCAATATATACATCAATATATGTTAATTTTCATATAGATTTACGTAAAGCGATATATATTGATACTAATTGTATAAATCGTCTACTACATGACCTTAAGGATAAGTAAAAGTGAAAAATACCCGCGTCCGTCTTCTGTTGACAAATAAAGAAATTGTGTGTTAAGTTCATTTAAGATTTAATGACTTCTTCAATTCTCATGTTAGATGTAAAATATATAATTTTCCTCTTGCAGATAGGAAGACTCGTCATGGGAATGTTGGCATCAGTTCTCACCCTCATACCATCAATAATAATGGGCATGTACATACTTTTTTTTTAGTCAGTGAAGTAAACCCTTAATTTTTCCTTGTGTCTTCCGTCTATTCCATCAGGCAGATGGAGGTGCCTCTGTTGGCTTTCTTAGTGCCCTTCAGTCCAGACCTGTGGATCGCCATCTTCGTCTCCCTGAACATCACTGCCTTCAGCGTGGCCGCCTACGAGTGGCTCAGCCCCTTCGGTCTTAACCCATGGGGGCGCCAGAGGTCCAAGAACTTCAGCTACGGGTCCGCCCTCTGGGTCATCTGGGGACTGCTCTTCTCTCATCTTGTTGCTTTCAAAGGTGATTTCTTGAGGCACTTTTTACTTTGGTGCGAACTGTGTCACGGTAGTGTTATACCATAAATGGCTTTTATTTATACAATAGTATTCAAAGTTGAGATATGAGATTTTGCCGACATGTCACATTTCACTTCACACCTGGTGGGTTATTGACTGGGTGTAAGGTTGCACCTTCGCCAAAAGCAAATCTATTTCTATGAAAAACTACACCTCCCCTACAAACTACCTCGATAGTTATCTAGATATTTGTGATGGTCTGAAAGCGTATTACGGTTCCGGTAATAGTCTGTTTGTAAACTGGAAAGTGAACCTTTGTCCCCAACAGAAATTATTGTAAAAAAAAAATCGATGGTTTAAATATAAAAAAGTGAACGCTGAAAACATTTTCATTGAAGAATCCAGCAGCCCTTTGTTCTCGCTAAGGACAGACAGGTTGTGGCAAGAGTTAAGGACTCTGTAAGTTAGTGGGTGCAAGGGTTAGGGAGTAGATACGTTATTGGATATAAAGGTTATGGATTAGGTAAGCTATTGGGTATAAGAGTTAGGGATTAAGAAAGTTATTGGGAATAGAAGTAGGGATTAGGTACGATATTGGGTTTAAGGGTTAGGGATTAAGATATAGGGTTTAGGGGGTTAGGGATTAGGTAAGTTACTGGGTATAAGGATTTGGGTTTAGGTGAACTATTAAAGTTGAATTTAAATTAGTGGTTCTTATAATTTATCAGGTCATGGGGGACAGCGTTAAGGCCAGTCACTCGTGTAGTTTACTGGACCGGCCTTATGTTAATGGTAATTAAGTTACCCCATGTTCCTTGTTGGTATGTTGTGTACTCACTTAATTGTGCTTGCGGGGGGGGGGGGGGTTGAGCTTTGGCTCTTGGGTCCCGCTTCTCAACCGTCAATCTACTGGTGTACTTTGAGATATATACAAGAGTTGTACTTACATTCTTGTACAACCGTACAACCGTACGCGTAGCGTTTCGGACAGGTCCCTGGAATACGATCCCCGCCGCGAAGAATCGTTTTTACAACCAAGTACCCATTTTACTGTTGAGTTAAACAGAGGCTACAGTTAAGGATTTGCGCCCAGTAACTCCTCCCCGGCCAGGATACGAACCCATGACAAAGCGCTCGCGGAACGCCAGGCGTGTGTCTTACCACTACACCACGGAGACTGATAAATTTAGATTCCTGAGCTTCTCGAGCTCTGTCATATCTACATTTGAAACTGTGTATGGAGTGGAGTGATGTGGTGGAGTCAGCCTCCATCACATCACTGCCACGTGTGTGTGGAGGGGGGGGGGGGGGTTACGTCTGTCTAAGGGGATTTAGATCTATTTATTTCGCCTTATCACATAGCACAAATGCAGTTTGATTAATCTTATCAATTTAGTAGTGCTTTATTTTGTCTGCACAGAAAAAATAGATATTATTGCACTTACCGAAACGTGGATGAATGTAGAAAATAGAGAACTATTAGCTGAATATCAAATATATGGATTTAAACTATTTCACACAGATAGATATATTAGACGAGGAGGTGGAGTAGCCATATATGTTAGGGACAATTTGAAATGTAGTCTCAAAGAGGGAATCAAAACAGAGCCACACACAGAAACTATTTGGATTGAATTAAACGAAAAAGCTAATAATATTATAATAGGAGTAATATATAGGCCACCAAATTTAGACAGAATGGAAGCAAAGCATCTATGGGATGAAATATCTAGAGCATCTAGATCTAACAGTATTTATGTCATGGGTGACTTTAATTTTAGCGGAATAAACTGGTTGAACAAAACAGGGAATAGTGAAGCAGAAGATTTTCTAGAATTAATTGACGATTGCTTTCTTACGCAACACATTAAGGAACCAACACGGGAAAATAATATTTTAGATTTAGTGTTAACTAACAGGGAAACGCAAATTAATGACATCGAAATAGGGAGTGAGCTAGGGAGCAGTGATCACAAAGAAATCAGATTTAGCATAGAATGGAATAGACCAGTAGGAGAAAATTCTGTTAAAGTGCCAGATTTTCGAAAAGCTGATTTTAATAGCCTAAGAAATTTTTTGGGTCAAATTGATTGGAAAGGCTTGGGTATGGGGTGTGGGCCGGTCTTGGAGCGAGACATGAACCCAGCGATAGGTGACTTAAATGGGGATTTCGATGTGGATTCAATATATAACTTATTTAAGAATATTCTAAACAAAGCACAGGAACGTAGTATACCATACAAATTGAATAGATCGTATACTAATGACCCAAAGTGGATAACAAAGAATTTGAAGAACCTTATAGGTAAAAAGAGAGCTTGGTACAAAAGGATTAAAAATGGGGAGGTCACTTTAGAACAGGAATTCGTACAACTGGTTAGAAATGTTAAAAAAGAGATAAGGAAAGCAAAAAGAAACTATGAAGTTCGCATAGCAGGGCAAGCAAAGACAAATCCTAAAGGGTTTTTTCAGTTATATCGTACTAAGACTAGGGAAAGGATAGGTCCATTAAAAACTGTGACAGGTCAAATAACAGATAGTGATGAAGAGATGAGTAGTATTTTTAATAAATATTTTGTATCTGTATTTACTAAAGAGGAACTTAACAATATGCCTTCAGCCGAACAAGTCTATGTGGGTGGGGACGAGGACAGGTTGACGAGTTTAGCAGTTACCAGGGAGGATGTTCTTAAACAAATAGTAAAACTCAAACCAAACAAATCCCCAGGGCCGGATGAAGTGTTTGCTAGGGTGCTTAAAGAATGCAAAGAGGAGCTTTGTGACCCACTGTCAACCATATTTAATAAATCAATAGAGTCAGGCAGAGTGCCAGAGTTTTGGAAAGTTGCTAATGTGATACCAGTTTTTAAGAAAGGAGATAGATCACTTGCGTCTAACTATCGACCAATTAGCCTAACGTCTATTGTGGGAAAGTTACTCGAATCTATAATAGCAAATAAAATTCGTCTTCATCTTGAAAAACATAAATTAATAATTGAGTCGCAACATGGTTTTATAAATGGCCGTTCATGTTTAACAAATTTGTTATCTTTTTATTCTAGCATTGTTGAGGCAGTTGATAGTGGTAAGGATTGCGATGTTGTATACCTTGACTTTAGCAAAGCTTTTGATACAGTGCCACATGAAAGACTGATTAAAAAGATAGAGTCTCATGGTATTGGGGGTGCTATATTAAGCTGGATTAGGGCATGGCTATACCAAAGGAAACAGAGAGTTAGTATAAATGGAATAAAGTCAGAGTGGGAAAATGTTGTAAGTGGAGTGCCTCAAGGCTCTGTCCTGGGACCTCTGTTGTTTATAATATATATAAATGATTTAGATTCAGGTTTGAGTAGCAACATTTGCAAATTTGCCGATGATACGAAAATCGGTAGGGAAATTAATTCGGAGGAGGACTCACTATCACTTCAAGTTGATCTAGATAGGGTTTTGAAATGGTCAAAGGATTGGCAGATGCAGTTTAATGCTGATAAATGTAAAGTTCTGAGGTTAGGTAATGATGATAGAGTTACAAGATACGAGCTAGATGGTGTTGTGATTGCGAAGTCGGATTGCGAAAGGGATCTGGGAGTTATGATTAGTAAGAATTTAAAACAAAAGGATCAATGCATAAATGTTCGTAATAAGGCAAATCGGACACTTGGATTTATTAATCGCAGCGTTAGTAACAAGACACCTGGTGTGGTTCTCAAGCTATATCTTGCTCTAGTTAGGCCCCATTTAGATTATGCAGTTCAGTTTTGGTCGCCATATTATAGAATGGATATAAATTCACTTGAACGTGTCCAGCGTAGGATGACTAAGTTAATTCCCCAAATTAGAAATCTTTCATATGAAGAAAGATTAACAAAGCTTAAGTTGCATTCACTGGAAAGGCGAAGAGTTAGGGGTGACATGATAGAGGTTTACAAGTGGATGAATGGACATAACCGGGGGGATATTAATAGGGTATTAAAAGTATCAACACAGGACAGAACACGAAACAATGGATATAAATTGGATAAGTTTAGATTTAGGAAAGACTTGGGTAAATACTGGTTCAGTAACAGGGTTGTTGATTTGTGGAACCAATTGCCGCGTAACATTGTGGAGGTGGGGTCCCTCGATTGTTTCAAGCACGGGTTGGACAAGTATATGAGTGGGATTGGGTGGTTATAGAATAGGAGCTGCCTCGTATGGGCCAACAGGCCTTCTGCAGTTGCCTTTGTTCTTATGTTCTTATGTTCTTATGTTCTTAAAGTTGTGAGTGAATGTGTTCATGTGCATTTGTGTGTACTCACCTAGTTGTGCTTGTGGGGGTTGAGCTTCGGTTCTTTGGTCCTGCCTCTCAACTGTCAGTATGAGCGTGTGTGTTTATGTGCGCGTGCTTCTAGGGTCGAGCGATAGTTTCCAGAACCCCACCTCGTGAGCAATTAAGTCTTTTAATGCAATGTATACCATCTCTCCTCTTCCTCCGCCTCATGCCCCTCAGAGGGCAGGACTGAGGGAAGTAGGGCGGGAGAGGCGTGTTGGTTCACGCTCCGTTAAAATCTGGAAATAGTCCGGTTTTTTGGAGGGTTACAACCATGGAACACTGATCACAGTCATCACCAAGTACATAGCGATAACGTAGGCAAGTTGAATACAGAGATTAACAATGAAACTTTGTGTTAAATAGAGAATAAACGTGGGACCACATGGGACTAGTGTCACGAGGCTCATGTATACGTGTGTATTGTCGTATATCTGAAGTATAGTGAACAGTGGTACGTTGAGCAGTGAAGTGGAACGTGACACAACACACATATAAGTTGAAAGTTTAGGAAAATTGTACATGGACAATTGGAAATGTATAATAGTGCCAGAATGAGGCAACACACAAGTATATGTTTACACCTAGAGTAGTTAACAAATGGAATGCATTAAGTAGTGATGTGGTGGAGGCTGACTCCATACACAGTTTCAAATGTAGATATGATAGAGCCCAATAGGCTCAGTAACCTTTACATCAGTTGATTGACAGTTGAGAGGCGGGAGTCAGAGCTCAACCCCCGCAAGCACAACTAGGTAAGCACCAGCCACGAGGCCTACCCAGTGTAAGAGACGTCCTTAAGTGATAATATACTGTGAATATATATTGTAATACGGGAATGTGAATCTAAGAATTAATAATAGAATAAGTTAATATCATTGCAAGCCGGAAATTAATCAGAAAATTCCTTGTGGTAATACAGTCAGATAATAAGTCAAAGTTATAAATCCAGGAACTGGCATCTGGTCACATCCATCCAGCGACCTGTGGCACTCAGTCGTCAGCTGTACATCCATCAGGTATGGTGGAAACGAGGAACTTAAACGAAACACAGGGTACAGGATACAGGGTACAGGACACAGGGTGCAGGACACAGGGTACAGGACACAGGGTGCAGGACACAATCAGACCTACTCATAGAAGGAAAGCAACATGTAAAAGATCTGGGAATTATGACGTCTGACGAACTGACATTTAGTTAACATAACCGAGCAAATATAGCGGCGGCCAGGAAAATGATAGAATGGATTATGAGAACGTTCAAATCCAGGGAACCCACAGCAATGCTAACACTATTTAAATCACTGGTACTGTCCCGTCTTAATATTGCTCAGTACTCGCTTTCCCTTTCAGAGCAGGAGAGATCTCTGAATTAGAGGGAATACAGAGAACATGGGACCTGCCCGAAACGCTGTGCGTACTAGTGGCTTTACAAGAATGTAAATACTGTACTATCCAATGTATTCTCACAAACCCAATGTACCTTCTTGTATATATATAACTAAATAAAAATAAATAAATAAATAAATAAAACATACAAGGCACGCATAGAAACGATAAAACATCTGAATTATTGGGACGTCTCAAAGTTATCAAAATGTACTCTCTGGGAAGGAGACGGGAAAGGTATCAAATAATATATACATGGAAGATACTGGAGGGCCAGGTCCCAAATTTGCACAGTAAAATAAGAACATACTGGAGCGAAAGGTACGGAAGGAAATGCAGAATAGAACCAATAAGGAGTAGAGGTGCCATAGGCACAATCAGAGAACACTGTTTTAACATCAGAGGTCTAATGCTATTCAACACTCTCCTAGCAAACATTATAAATATTGCCGGAACGATGGTGGATGTATTCAAGAGGCACTTGGACAGGTTCTTGCAAGAAGTGCCGGACCAACCAGGCTGTAGTGGACAAGTGAGCATGCGGCCGCTCCAAGCAACAGCCTGTTGGATCAAGTTATCACAAGTCGTGGCTGGTCTCAGGCTGGACTCGGGGAGTAGAAGAACTCCAGAAACCCTCTCCAGGTATGCTCCCTCCTTTTCCTCCTTCCGTTCCTTCTATTCCTCCTCCTACTTCATTCCCTCTTCAGCACTCTTTATTAACATCTCTCCCACTTCCACTCTGCATGCCTTCTACCTTCCCTCTTTTCTCAACCTGCCTTAACTCCTCTCTCCCCGTAAGCAAATATATTGACATATAATAACATTTCACGCCCCATAAGTCTGGCCCAGAAGAGCCATTCATTAAGCACTATCCTCCCACCAAGACCCTTGTGACAAACCAGGTAATATCCTGCACCATTCCTGCCACATTGATCACGGCCAGCAAGGCGCACTTCTGGACACTGAGTTAATGAATTGTTCCTTTCTCGACATTCTGTACCACATTAATTCGCAGTGGAATAGAGAAACATTAAATGGTTAGCAGAGAGAGAGAGATGTATTAATGTAAAGAAGTATGATGGTAATGTAATGGTAATATACACAGAGAGTAATCACACTATCATGATGCATCAATGAGAAAATCCGTAGGCGCCGTGATGAGGGTGTGAACCCGTGTGGTGGGTGTTCCCAGGCACACGGAGCACCCAGTGTATATGTGTATGTGTAGGTATGTGTGTGTAGGTGTATGTGTAGAGGAGCGTCAGAGGTAGAGGACATTCCTAGAGGACAGAGCCATTAGGGGATTGTGTGAAACTCTGGTTAACCTTAAGTGGAAGCCTCAGGAATCCTCGAGGGTGCTGTAGTACCCCAGGTTGCAATCCTTTTGACCATGCCGTGGTCTAGTTGTCTAGAGCGTGTGCCTGGGAACACATAGCACATAGGTTCGAACCCTCATCACGGCTCCTACAGATTTTTTTATGGTAATATGATGGTACTCGTAATAAGAACTATATGTTGTATTCCAATGAATACTTCGATGAATCTAATGCTTCTCTTATTACTAAAGCCTACCTGCATACTATACTGTACTTGAATAGTTTTAAGCTATTATTACCCATATATTGTCTAAGCTTTTAATTTCGCTATTATGTCTTATTATTATATGCAAAAACATTATTATTAAGACAAAAGTTGAATAAAAATATACAATAGTCATAAGAACGTGATATGTTTATGAAAAAAATATTAGTCTTTGACAGGGTCGAACCCGTATCCCTGGACTCCAGGGTTGTGGGTTCGATCCCATTCCAGAGCTTCAATAAGCTCTGGATTGAAGCAAATAAACGGATTATTACAAGAAGTGTTAAACCCAGAAGCAACAATTATCATCAGTGCTTTTGTTGTCTCCCCGTGCAGCTCCTAAATCGTGGCCCAACAAGGTGTTGATCAACGTGTGGGGCGCCTTCAGCGTCATCTTCGTCGCCTCCTACACCGCCAACATTGCCGCCCTCTTCGCCGGCCTCTTCCAGACGCGGTACCTCCACGAGAAGAAGGTAAGGGGTCACGGAAGGCTGGGAAGTTCTATGGTGTAAATGGGAGCAGGGAAGGGGTTCTGTGTTGCGGTGAATGGGGCAGGTAAGGGGCTCTTTATTGGGGTGAATTGGATCAAGAAAATTGCATCATGTATGTTGGAGGTTTTTTGAGGATTTTGAATGAGGTGTTGCAGCCTTGTGGCTTATTGCGTACTGTGACTCTCAACTCTTTCCTGGGCATTGGCAGGAGTGTTGTGTGCTCCTCACATGAGTAGTGGAGGGTGAATGGGGGGTCGTCACCTTCCTTTCTTTCCCCTCCCTCGCTCCATCCCAGGAAAGGGATTTGGGAATCAAAACACCGTAACCACTATCGTCGACGGTAAGACAAGTGTCGAGGCCCTCTTGGCAGCGAGAGGAAAGTTGGTTAAGTTTGGTTCTCTACGAGTGTTGTCTCTCCTCACGATTTAAAGTCTTCTCTTCTCAATGAGAAAATGAACGACCACCCTTTTCTTCTTGAATGGTCAGCACTCTTCACTGTAAGATAATGAGTGGGCAGCACTCTCTCATCGTTGTAAGATAATGAGTGGGCAGCACTCTCTCATCGTTGTAAGATAATGAGTGGGCAGCACTCTCTCATCGTTGTAAGATAATGAGTGGGCAGCACTCTCTCATCGTTGTAAGATAATGAGTGGGCAGCACTCTCTCATCGTTGTAAGATAATGAGTGGGCAGCACTCTCTCATCGTTGTAAGATAATGAGTGGGCAGCACTCTCTCATCGTTGTAAGATAATGAGTGGGCAGCTCTCTCTCATCGTTGTAAGATAATGAGTGGGCAGCACTCTCTCATCGTTGTAAGATAATGAGTGGGCAGCACTCTCTCATCGTTGTAAGATAATGAGTGGGCAGCACTCTCTCATCGTTGTAAGATAATGAGTGGGCAGCGCTTTCTCATCGTTGTAAGATAATGAGTGGGCAGCGCTCTCTCATCGTTGTAAGATAATGAGTGGGCAGCGCTCTCTCATCGTTGTAAGATAATGAGTGGGCAGCGCTCTCTCATCGTTGTAAGATAATGAGTGGGCAGCACTCTCTCATCGTTGTAAGATAATGAGTGGGCAGCTCTCTCTCATCGTTGTAAGATAATGAGTGGGCAGCCCTCTCTCATCGTTGTAAGATAATGAGTGGGCAGCTCTCTCTCATCGTTGTAAGATAATGAGTGGACAGCACTCTCTTCACAAAGATAATGAGTGCACGACGGAAAGCGAGTGGTCTCTCTCGTAGCAACTGGAAGATAAATGATAATATCTTCCCATTTCTCAATGAAATATTGTTCTTTTTTTCGCTGACTTATGTCCTCGCAGTATTACCAGTGCCTCTGGAGCGACCCGGGCCATGAATCATGCCTAACAGTGGCTCTGGATGATACAGTATGCCAGACAAGTCTCTGTATAAACCCTTATTGTGTATCGGGAGCACTGCTTTGTTTACCAGTATGGTGTATTGACTAGTGATTCGTGTTTTCTGAACGCAGTTTATCGAATACGTAATTAATATTAATATTTAATTAATACGTAATTAATATAATAGTGAAATCATTTATCTTAGATTAGATGGGCTAGAAGGTGACACACAAACACTCCCACTCACTCACTCACTCACCAGTATCACGTGTCACTATATATTCCACTTGCCTTTGATCGCAACTGACTGGCGAGGTCAGAGGTTCAAGTTCAGGTTGAGACAATAAATTTGTCTTTTTTGAAACAATAAAATACATCTCAAAGGGATAGAGTAGCTTAGGCTATTTCTACCCTCCTCTACTTCAAGTCCCTCAAGGGGCGCACAAATCCATTGAGTACAAATCCACAAATCACAGTACAGTACAAGAATCACATATTACATTGCAGGTTAATATAGTAAACACAGCATATAAGTGTTACACTCTTGGGGCAAAGTGCTTGTAGCTCCTAAGTATTCTGTCTATCATACCATTATCATACATCCACAGGTCAGAGATGGTGGGTATAATGAAATCTTGGTAGGGACCGTGGGGAGGCTGCAGGGCGGTGTTGACTGGGGAGTGGGTTGGTGTAGGGAATAGGGGTGTAGTCCCCTACACCCTTATCCCCCCAGGGGGGGGTTAGGGGACTAGGGTTTATGATGTCACGAACACACATTAGCATATTATGGCAAAAATATGATAGGTAACTTTTTTTTTAATTTTGTGGAGACTAATGAAAATGTTTTATTATACAGTTTAAGAAATTGGCGTTTTGAATTTTTATTTTTAGAATACTTTTAAGGACCATCTGGTCCCAGATTTGACGGGAGGTTTATAGGGAGGTGTCCCTATGGGACTGCCACGCTATACTCGTTTCATTGATGCAGACTCCGACATGAGCATATTAGGCACAAGCCCCGTAACAACCACTTTGGAAAATCTTAGGCAATAAATCAGCATAATTCTTTTTTCCTCGTAATTTTCTCTCCCCCTAATTTATCCCTCTCTTGACTCATAACCGGCCCATGTGGTCTAGTGTAGGGACTCCCTCGTGTCCTGTAAGTCCCTGTGACCTAGCAAGTTACTGACCCCTGTGCGCTAATAGGCCGCCTGCTGGAGACAAATAATATAAACTAATTTGCAAAGTTGTCTGTCAGTGTAAAAGTCATCTAACTCTGTGTTGTAGAATGTTGTAACGAGAAAGATCCCTGAATCGTCAAATGACAGAGTGCACAAGATCTTGATCAGAAATAATTTTAGCGTCCCACATCGAATGAGGACGGAAACATCTCTGGTCCAGAGGCAATTAAATAGTCTAATCACTCAGTCAAAAACCAAACAAGATCAAATTCAATTTGGGCCAACTACGGCCATGTAGTTATCAAATTAAATTACCTTCAGTTCTTGAGTGATCAATAAAGTCTCCCAAGAGTTCATTATGGCGCCACTCTCTTCTGGCAAGACCGTGAAACTCAAACTTAATCATGTCGGAGCTATACACATTTGACCTCGATCCTGTGTAAAGAATGGTGGCCGAGGTGAGTGCCGCTCAGTGTTTGCCAGGAGTCTGGGCAACCTTTGATGTAAATTAAGTGTCGTGTTGGGTGCATCCTTTTTTTTCTAAACTGGTAGGCACAGGAGCAGACGACTTCTGATTCCTGTTAAAACGCTGAGTGTGTGTCCTTCCCATAGCTTATGATAAGCCTTACCCTACTACTTTTCCTTGTAACACGATCCGCCAATTGGTTAACAACCAGGTACCCAATTACTGCTGCGTAAAAAGAGACGAAGAGTTAAGGATTTGCGCACAATAAGTCCTCCCTGTCCAGGACTCGAACTCAGACCAAGTCGCTCGCAAGGCGCGGGACTACCCTCTGTATACCATAGTGCCGTGTATGTCCCATAGTTCTCCATGTATACCATAGCACCCTCCGTATATACCATAGCTCGGTGTATGTATACCACAGCCCTTTACATATACCATAGCACCACTCAATACCATCACGCTCTATGCATACCATAGATCTCTATGAACACCATAACGTTATATGCATAACATGGCGTTGTATGCATACCATAGCACTGTGTTTGCCATGGTATCCTATGTATATCTTAGCTCTGTGTATACCGTAGTGCTGTGTATACCATAGTACTCTGTGTATACCCTTGCATTCTGTGTATTCCAAAGCACGCTGTGTATAACATAGCTTTCTATGTATACCATACCATAGTATGTATTACATATCGATGTGTTTATATCATAGAGTACTATCTATATACATCATAGCCATCAATGTATACCATCGCACGCTATGTATACCGTTGTACACTATGTATACCGTTGTACACTATGTATACCATAACACTTTCTAGACCAAATTCCAGTATGCATAACACTCCAATGTATAGGAGTGTTGTTATACTATTATACACAATAGGTATAACATAATCATATATATATATATATATATATATATATATATATATATATATATATATATATATATATATATATATATATATATTAAATATGACCGAAAAAGTAAGATTAATAATTCTAACTCGAATTTTCTCAATCTTTCGTACATTACGCTTCACTGTTGGAGGTAAATCAAAAATCAATTCTCCAAAATTCATTTTTATTTCTAGTCTGACGCGACACGGGCGCGTTTCGTAAAACTTATTACATTTTCAAAGACTTTAGTTCACAAATACACAACTGAATAGAACTTACGTATCTCTGATTTTATATCTACATTTGAGTGAGGTGGAAGGGGTGATGTAGCATTAACACAAGACAGAACAAGAGTATTAATAGGGTATTAATTTCATCAACATAAGACAGAACACGAAACAATGGATATTGAATAGAAGTGTTTGTAGAAAGCCTATTGGTCCATATTTCTTGATGCTTCTATATTGGAGCGGAGTCTTGAGGTGAAATATTGGTCCATATTTCTTGATGCTTTGATTGACCAATAGGCTTTCTACAAACACTTCTATTCAATATCCATTGTTTCGTGTTCTGTCTTGTGTTGATGAAATTAATACCCTATTAATACCACACTTTGTTCTGTCTTGTGTTAATGCCACATAACCCCTTCCACCTCACTTAAATGTAGATATAAAATCGGAGATACGAAAGTTCTATTCAGTTGTGTATTTGTGAACTAAAGTCTTTGAAAATGTAATAAGTTTTACGAAACGCGCCCGTGTCGCGTCAGACTAGAAATAAAAATGAATTTTGGAGAATTGATTTTTGATTTACCTCCAACAGTGAAGCGTAATGTACGAAAGATTGAGAAAATTCGCGTTAGAATTATTAATCTTACTTTTTCGGTCATATTTAATAATATATGTCTACAGGAAAGACTGCTACCAAAATATACTAATATATATATATATATATATATATATATATATATATATATATATATATATATATATATATATATATATATATATATATATATATATATATATATATATATATATATAATATATATATATATATATATATATA